CCGGGAGGCTAGTGAATGGTAGTCAAGATTCATCAACAGAGTCGGCACACACTTGTTCAATATGCATAGCATTCCTGACGAAGTTGCAAATCAGCTGCGTACAGAGCATCGCAGGCCAGATGAGACTATTAATTGAGTCTAGCATAGCCGCAATGGAGTGTGATCCACAAACCACAAACAGGGACTGTGCATTGCTCACAAACTTGAGTTGGTCGAAGCCGCAACGAAACTCCATGTAAGTAGATGAAGTTTCTCGCTAGTGTCGCCTAACCATGAAGGTGTTGGTGACCGGGGCCACAGAGCAGGAGGCTGGACAGCATCAAATGACCTTTGAACACCAGTGATTGTCGAATGACACTGCTATGTAACCGATTTAATCCACCAGTTCTATTTATGTGGTTGACACGAGTACGCGAGTTCCTAAGTGTACTGCAACACACATCGCCGTTTCTTGTTGCACTGTTGCCTATGGAGTATTCCAGAAATCAGAAAGGCAACTTAGTTTTTGACATACTTGGGGTTTGAATACTCTGCTTACCACACTATCGAAGGAGTGGCAACTTGGAGATGCTGGCAAAACCGAGATGTGAAGTGTCACTCACTGATGAAGACACGAGACGGCATCACCTTGCAACAGTCGACTGCGCACTGGGATGACTCATGTCCTCAAAAAGCGGAAGCCAATGTTGCACGAAGCCAAATCAAACTGTACATGAGGGCACTTAATGCTACACCTCGCAACGTTGTAGGAAATGTGTTGTCTGCACTGAGTAGTGAAGCATTCGTTCACTTGCCCAAACAATCATGCATTGGAAGAACTCTTCTGAGTCACCGAAAAAAACGGTCATTTGCCTTGTCCAACAGGCACAGGTAGTACTCTGAACTAGTCCTACATGATTCAGTTATGGATGATCCGGAAAGGATCCTCGTCTCAGTTGGTAAAGCATTTATACTTGAATTGTGCAGAGAAACCAGATACGGGGACGGCACTTTTGAGATAGTTCCCAACACGTTTTATCTGCCGTATATGTAACACGTCAACGTGGGCAAGTGTTATCCTGCTTACCTTTACATCCTATTGCAGCCCTATACAAGAATGTTTGTAATAATGAAACTACTGTTACCGGATATGTGCCACCAAATGTGTTAGTTGATTTTGTGAAGACTATTAACGTCGCGAGATTCCCGACGCAGTAATTAAAGGATGCTAGTTTCAACTGTACCAAAGTATCATCATAAAGTCTGCAAAGTCCGCCTAAACACTGCTTTTGAAATGGATGTCAACTACAGCTGAAGTCGCTGACTACACTTTCCTTAGTCCCAGTTGCTGGAGTGTGAGGTTTTTGTTGAACTTGCTAGCACATTTCTAAATAAAGTATCATATACGGTGCTCAATTAATTCTTCTCTACTTACATTGAAGGGGTAGCAGGCCGAGAACCGCAGTTCCCACTGCAAATGTAGAACCATCACGATGCCACTCTTGATAGGTCATCGGAAACCACCAGTTGCTGCGGAGGAATTCACAATGCTTTGAATTCCTTATTCCACTGCAGTCATCCAAACGTTATGGCATTTGTTTGATGGACTACAGAAGGGCTTGGCGTGCCACAAACTTACACTAGCCAATGCGCGTGCAGGTCGCTTTGAGGTGAGGAAGAAAAGATATGATGCATTGAAAGCTGCCGTTGCTTCTTTTGGTTGAAATTATGAATCAACAAGAGACCGGGTTAACTACTTGCGAAGATTAGCTAGTTTGCCATAATTACCCTTGTTGTTCCTACTGGTATTAAACCTAGTGTTAAGCTATTTACACTCAACGGAAAATTGTACTCGTTGGGACTAATCCAGTACCATTATATTTCAACCTACGTTCCGTTTCTCAATTTGAAATCCTTTTTACGTGTGAGTAGTCCTTTCTCGCATTGCCTAAGTGGACAATATTCCACGTGCGCATTTTGTTGATGAAAACGCAATCCAGATCAGCACATGTATAGTCACTAGTACTTTTTGCCTACATAAGAGTTAACACTTTCAAACGACACCGGTGATTCGTGCGTACTAGTTGTAGGAGTATCAGCGAGCGTCGCGGCTGCACGAAGGATCATAAGCATCTCGATAGCCTTCCACATCGTCCCTCATTTCGGACTCAAATTAAAGCTATGGTGTTACGGGATAACTGCTTGCGCTCTTACCTGGGTATTTGTCCGGTGAAAATGTGCCGTGCGACCACTAACAGTCGCACGCGGGCTGAGTATATCGCGAGGACGTCCACCCCTACGCGGATTCGAACCTGCGCTGCAAGATAAGGAGACAAGCTCATTACCTCTAGGCTACGGGCTGACATTTTCCCGGTACCAAGTAAACTGGTCACTTGTCAGTTTTTCGTCACAGTATCAAGCGACTTCTCAGGTGAACGGACGATATCGTCACAAGGGCGGCAGCAAACCAAACCGGTATCTGCCGATTAGCAGTCGAAAATACACGTAGAGGAATGATCGTACTGACAGTTTATAAGTAGTGCATTTCCGTTTGCCATATTTGCGATTAAGGGACATCCACTCGACTTCGTCGTTGGTAGTTTGTGCGCGGAACCAGGTTTCAGTCATAAAGTAGCGGTCCTACGCGTATGCTGCCTCTGATATCAGTAGTGAGTAGGGGAACGTGTAAATTGGATGTGAGGTTGCGTCGACTGCTGAGAGGTCGATTACTAATCGTTTTTTCTATCCTATGCTGACGACGAGTTTGTGTCCTGAACAATATCTTGTTTACGGAATGGGATGTGATCGCCAGTTTCGCAGGCTGGCTGAATGATACCATCTGAATTGTTACCGTTACGAGGTGCGACTCAGTTTGCCGTGTCTGTTGGTTGCTTGGAGGACGCTGCCTTGAGCCAGAGCTCAAACAGTAGTCTGCCACGAAGTGCATACCAGAGTTCTAACAATCGCGCTTATGTCTAGCTTGATTGAAGCACCTTCATACATTGTGTCTTGGTGAAACGGAAAAATGCAGCCCAATCTGAAGATCGGCCCAAATGTTGATGTGTCCAATTTTTCCCGTCGGTTGCAACGTTGTACGAGCTGCTATGGGGTGACCTTCATTCCGGTAACGCAGAGCGCTATTATTATCTCTTGGTCATTACCAAGAAGACTGCCCAGCGACTCGTCTTGTTGCGGCGTGAATTCATAATGTGCGCATTAAGTAAAGTGCACTGTTTACCCTGGATTGTTTCTCAACCGTATGTGCAGAGGCATGTGAGCGCCGTATTACACGATACTTCATTTGGAAATGTAGCGCAAAATCATCCAACACCACATATCGACGACCGGCACACTGGTCAGTGCAGCCAGGGGCTTGAGTTGGAGTTTTCGACTGACATCGATTTCAAAGGAAGTCTTTAGGCCCACGTTGCTGACATTCCTTATGACGCATTGGCTTAGGTAAAAATAGCCGACTTAGATTTCAGCGTCTTCAAAAGGATGGCAAGGGAAGGCGGAATATTAACTTGACCTACTGACACACAATGGTTCTCAGCGGCCGATTCGTTGAGACCTCGACTAACTGCAGTAGGCGAGCGATGCTTAGTCTGTGCAGTTCTATAGATGGTTTTGCAACACTGCGCAGTATGGTACGTTTCTAACAGTCGAACTAGCGAGCATCTTGGGTGTGAATGCCATAATTGTCACCATTTGCTGCTTTTGAAGGCATAGGCCAAAAATTGGGTCTTGTGAATGCCACAACTAGATACTATGGGCACTAGTAACAACGAGACCAGATTGATAATCTGTGCTTACTTTTAGTGTGCTCAATTTTCTGTGTGTGCAATCTTCCGTGTCCGCTTTTATGTCTGTGCGCTTTTTGCTGTCCGCAATTTTCGTGTACGGTTCCTTCGTGTGCGCTTTCATCATGGAACCGGAGCAATGTGGACATTTCCAGTGTTGACCGACTTGAAGCTACTTTAGAACTTCTGTTTGCATTCACCTAAATGGCAGCTTATAGAAATCGTTATGTGAATATTATGTTTTCTGAATTGCACCAGCGATGATTACCGCGAGTTATAACGCCACCACCAGGAAACTGAGGCTTTCTAGGATTGTCATGGTTTGCAACCAACTTTCTTGTAATAGAACGATTCCTGTAATTACGTACTCATTTCGCCGCTTAATAGCACTGAGATCACTGATTTACCAAGAAACAAGCGCACATTACTGGAAAATATTAGTGGAATTCACGCTTTATCGGCAAAACAACCACGGAGGCTAGATTGCCAACTTGCACGATGCTTTCGTTATTTTCCATGACGTTTCTACTTAATTCCTTATGAGGTGTTTCTGACTTTATGACCATATTCGATGAGGCACGGGTTTAAGAGAGTAGCGCGTAGCATCTTCAAAAGGTTGACGGGAAAGAACGTGATTGACCTTAAGACCTGTTCAGCAAAAAACAAATTTATATGATCGGTTGACCTGCAGCTGTTTGAAGCCGCAATACTACATCTCTTCTGACAATCATCAGTACTCCTTTGGATAGTCGTCGTTATGAGCTTTGACGTTGACTTGTTGCTGTATGGTTGCTGGTGTCCGTTTCGGTGGTTCTATACCATTCTCCCCTCAGCCCGTTGCTTTTTTATATTTCGAAGGGTCGTTTCGTAAACATTCACTCTCTCGCCGTTTGTTTTCGTAGAAAATTTTGGACTTTTCGTATTTCCCTTGTGGGCCTTGTAGCAAAAAATTGGGTTATAAAATGTCTTTTAACAACCCTGTTTCTCAAGGCTGTTTCGTACCGTTGTCCCTGGTAATCTGCACCACATGCTTGTTATTCGGATGTTGGTCCCATTTACAAAGCGAAACTGTTGCGTAGCATTACTGGGGATCTAACCTGCACAATCGGTCTGATGCGTTTTGCGTGCCGTTATCATGCCCCTCCGTCAGGCTGTAGTAGTCATGCCCTTTCCTTCTGCCGCTTGCCTCGCCAATACTCATCTACCCATTCATTTGTGCAGCTACTGCTACTGTCACGCGATGTGTTCAAGAGGCAAAAACAAGGGGAACTTGCGACTTCTCAAGGCAAAATTCGAACTGTCAGATGGCAAGGAGAATTCATTCTCTGGTCTGACGATGCCGTAAGTCGTACTTCTGTCTTTTCAAAAGTCATTTATGCGCGTTACATTTCTGATGCGTGTCTGTGGTATACCTTATGTAATTTTGTCGCTGCTTTGACTGTCTGATAGCGTAATTGAGCTTCCATTGGCATTCTTCCACGCAGCAGCATTTGCATGTTATCTCGATTTCCACCTCCGCTCATGTCTATAAAGGCACTATCCATCCTTACGAGACAACATCTCTTTTACTTCGTCGGAGGTTATTTCAACAGGGTAAATCACAATTATAAAGCATAATTGGGCGGTGAACACTGAATGCATGTCCTCTCGGCACCTTTGTGATAACCGTAGTTGCTCACGGTCGTTTTAAGTTATAATCAGATGGATCCCCGTTGGGTGTTGACAAACGTTGGTAGTCAATGAACACTGACTTCGCATGCTGAAACGCAATCATTTGTAAGCTGCTTGCTCTTATTCTACAATTACCACCATTCGGTGCCATCCAAGATGTTCTTTGGTCGAGTACACTGTCTAATACATCAGTCAAGGATTCCATTTCACTGCACACACACACACACGCTATACACGTTAGCTAGAGGTGGGAAACACATCAGATACTGTGCCGCAATATTGGAAGAAAAAAGGAAAAAAAGTGCAACAGGTACAAGCCAGCTAAGCTACCGGTAACTGATGGGCATTGTTCTGGTAAGCTACCTGTTGGCTGCTATGCAGCAGAACAAAAACAATTTACTATGCAAAATTGTAAAATTCTAAGTAATGAGATCGTGGTTGAAGATGGAGGCTAAGAGGGATGGGGTGGGACAAAGAAACTCACAGCACGAACGATCCTAGCCATATCAACAAGTGTATTCAGCCAAACGTGTTCATCGTCTTTCGGACCCCAACCAGGTAGCCGAGACGCTTCAACTGAGGCCAGCTTCGAAGTGAGGGCCTTCATTCCTCTGGACAAAGTCATCGCTTGGCCACCCCTCCTCTTCTTCCATCCACACCCCGGCGCGCAAACAATGCACGTCACGGGAGTCGGTGGGCCGACATGCGTAACACGTGACCCAGCCATCGGAGCCTGGTGCGTGATATAACGGTGATGAGCGGTTCACTAGCTCTTTCCGCACCAAATACGCGACGGCGAACATAATCATTGCTCGCGCGGTGTTTCCACCCGACATGAACTGAGCTGCGAAGGAAGCGATGATCGAACTTGACTCAAACTAAACGGATCATGAAATTCTTTGGAATCATCAACACCTTTGTTTACTAGGCTTCGATGCGTTTTGATGGTGCGGTTGTAGTGGTGACAAACCCTACACGGTTAATTCGCATCCCTAGTTGGTATCGTGTGAGCACATATTCAGGTATGTACCAATCCAAAGCACCCAGACCATATTTATTTATTCGCAAAAGGCTTTGATTTTATGGATCACGAATGTTTTTGCTGAAATATATCGCCAGTGAGAATAGAAATTACTCTATTAGAAAATCGCCTTAACTTGACCCCTGGGGATGAGCAATGAGTCACAGGAAACCGTGTAGGGCGTTCACGGCGGTCCATAGCATGCGTCGACGTAGCACCATCACACACGTACTATACAACATCGTGATCGAAATGCGTATGGAAGACCTTGCGCTGTTGCTTTCTCTAAAATGAACGTTGAACAGGCGATAAACCGACAAGACAAGTATACCGTAGGACATATCAGATAGACAAACACTACTGGATGAAGTGACGCAGAATGATGTACATTGCCATATGCACAATGTACTGACGCATGAGCAATCCCGACAACCCCCACTATCACCGAATGACAATTGAGACAGAAGGGCCGGTTCCCGTAGCTAAGTCAGGTCGACCTCATTACTCGCCCAAGTATGACCCGAGTGCTTTCTCGAAGCTCAATCCAACCAAACAGGGTAGAACATCAGCGTAATTTTCAGGGAGAGAGATTACAGCTCTTCAGTCCGCTGTGCGTCATTTCGTGAATAGGAGAAGTTGCACCGGTGCATTGAAGAAATCCAGCAGTTGGGTTTCTAATCCCCGGTACCTGGGTAACATTGCACACACCTGATAGAACTACCGTATGTAGCATGAAGACACCATCAGCCGATTTATGTACAGGGACCAAGTGGGGATATACCACAAAAGTGGTCCGGGACGTTGTATGACATGACACTGCGGAATCATTGATAATCGTGTGGTAGACACCTTAATGTCAGCTCATACACTCGACAACTCCACTTATCTTGGTCCTATTTTGAGTTGTCAGTGACATGAAGAAAGGATTTATATCGAGCGCAACGGAACGCCTGCAGTGTGCTCAACCTGACGCTAAACTTGGTTCATGAAATATCGCATTACGGATGGTTTCCCAATATGTGGGCTGCCTCATTCTTTCGAGAGAATATATATCTATATATCATTATACACTTTACCTGCGGGTGGAAAGCACCTCAGCTATTGTGCCGCAATACAAAAGAAAAAAATGCATGAGAGGCACGCCGGCCTAGTCACCAGTAACAGATGGACATCATTCCAAAGAGCAAACGACCGGCTATTATACCTACTAATTGAGACTGTGGTTGGAGGGGACGCTAAGCGGGAGGGGATGGACAAAGCAACTTACAACACAAACGCCATTGACGTCGGCTCCTAACCTCGTCAATAAGTGTATCCAGCCAAACGTGTTCTTCTTTCGCCAACCAGGGAGCTGAGACGCTCCAACCAAGACCAGCTTCAAAGTAAGGGCCTTCATTTCTCTTGACCAAGATATCGCTTGGCCACCTCTCCTCTTCTTCAATACGCTCCCCCGGCACGCAAACAACGCACGTCGCGGAAGTCAATGTGCCGGCATGCGCAACACTTGGCTAAGCCATCGGAGCCTGATGCGTGAAATACCGGTGCTGAACCTCTGTTTAACTTTACTTTATTACTTTTATTAGGTCATGCACTTGGTATAGTTGTTGGTTCTCTTCATCGGTTTGCGTTACGTGCTGTCGTTGAACTTAGGCGAGACGACAAGTTGATCAATCGGTGACGTGACATAAAGGCATGAAGGAATTGACCGAGCGACTTGAGTAGGTTGACACTTGCTATCTTGTTCTATTGTTTCTGCCCCCTTAGCCGCTCCATATGGCGATTTTATGCACCGACAACTACACTAGTGTCAATGCTATTATTATTGCTGTTGCTTTATTTGCCGCTGCTTTATTTGATCCACTGCACCGTGGTTCACCGATCTAAGCTGCTGAACTGAATTGTTCCGCAATTGCTGCGAAACGAGTTATTTCGCAGCACTGTACGCCTTTTCACATACTTCACAACTCAGAATTACGAAATACTCTTGCAAGTTCTTGCTGTCACCAGACTATTATCCAAAATGATCGTCGGTTGACTTATCTGCCTAACTACATTTCCTCTAACGGTAGCACCACCGAATACTTTACCCCGCACACATCTCTAAGACTCATTCAGATCCATCGAAATTTACTATTATTAGTTGGGGATCTCATGACGCTTGCGGCTGCACAATACCGAAACGCCAGTACCAATGTGCTATCTATACGCTTGTTCATACTTCAGATATTCTGGGACTTGAAACGGTTGGACATCATTTTTTCTTCGCATACCGTACACGACAGATTGCAACATGCTCCTTCAGCCAGACTGTCGGATATAAGTTACCAGCCCGTGGTTTGGACAGTTCCAGGCTTTGTAAGACATGGGATGTATTTGTCATTAACAGCCTCCCTTGTCGTACCCTGACCGCATTCCTCTTGAACTGTACGCTAGTTAGACCGTTTCGCTTATACCATCGTGTGCCTGCGCTGCGCTAATCTTTCGCTTTTGAGCAGTGCTCCCAGTTTTTTGTGCATATCAACATATGTTATTTTAGGTAATTGGGCCTTGTGATTTCACCTTCGGTTAGTTTCCGGGGAAGCTCCAATCTGAACATAGTCTAGGGAATTGTGATGTCCATTCGGACTGGTTATCTGTGTGTAATGGCTTGTATTAGCCTCGAGATCTACCTAAGATATAAAATCTACTATCTGTCAAACTAGAGTATGAATTGAATCGCCAGGGTGATCCCTCGTTTAACTTGTGTGTTTCGTGCTACACGGCACTGTCCGCCACTCTGTCATAGTCCCTACCGAGCATCATTTTGCGCAGCTTCATATAGCTCGTGTATTTCGTCCGGAATCTTTCCACCTCCTAGTTTTCCAAGGAACTATTTCTCATTTTTCCGGTACTTTTCTACTACGCATTTAGTCCACTATTTTCGCTTTGTCCTTCCCATTACTACCGTGGTTTCCGCACATTCTCTTTTGCCCTTACTCACAGCGCGTTTCCGTTTATGACATACGAGATCATCAGCATATTGCATACATTCAGTTCAGGGAGCAGCAACCATTGTAAGCAACGTCTCTTTTTCCTTTATCTTTTAGTGGCAAACTTTCCTGTTGTTGCTTATTTACTTCTCCTTTGTCACGTTGTATTACAGACTTTCGATTCCTGTGATTCCTTGCTACACCAGTTGGTGCTCAGACACCAGCTTTCTTCTTGCCCGCGGTCACTGTCTTCGCATGTGTCAGGTTTTAGAACGATATTACTCTTCAGAAAGTGGCGATACACCGAGGCATTCCCTATCCCGCTCCTCGTCGATTCAAATACCTGCGAACACGGAGGCCCCTTTGGGGTTGCCCAGTCGATACGTTGAAGTAGCCTTCCAAGTGGACTTAGAAAGCAGCCTCATCTGCGGTGTGTCACATCATCAATCCAGCTTGTTTGCGCTCGTCGTCCCGAATCTGTCTTTGGTTGAATCGTCACACGATCTCCCACTGGAAATGCGAATTATTGATATCGAGAATATTGAGGCCTCGGCTACTTCTTGTAAGCACGATTTCCGAATCCACTGTGAACGGCTGACATGGTCGATCCAGCGTACAAATCGTGTGCACCTCAACATCTCCTTGGGTGCGTTCGTACTTCTGACCAAATTTTTATCTATAATCTTTCCATGTCCTTACATTCGTGAAGCCTAGACCTACTGTGACGCATCCGTCCAATTCACCTTCAGCGCAGACGTAGACTGATGCGTTCAACTTTGCTTAGTTATGTTTCGCGGCTTCGCGCCTTACTTTGTGAATTTGGTATCGACCCGATTTGCTTCGTTCTAACCACAAAAGTGCCGCTTCGTACCATCATTTTTGCACTCCATAAGCGCTTCTCGTGGAGTTGTTGAGCACTATCATTACGGTTGCACTTTTGTTCCTTATTTGCCATATTTTTTGACAGCGTTTTACACTTCGTTTTATTCTACTCGTCCATTTTATTAGCAAAAAGGTCTTACAGGTCTGCTCTAGTGGGTATAGATGGCTGGAGCTTTCTGTACAAACTCTGGTAGATCAATTACAGCAGCGAGTTTCGATAGTCGAAGCGACACCTATTACGCCAGCCACAAAGGATTACGCTTGCTACAGACAGTGGCACATTTGGTGGCCACCTCCTCCTTACTGTGAAGCCAAATCCTGTTTGGGAGTGGACCAGGCAGGTTTACGACTGAGACTGTGCTGTTTGATTCACGTATTTGCTCCACTGCGATTGAGCATCAGCTCGACTATACCTGTTTTCTTTAAATTTCCTAACACAGTCCAAGTATATCGGCTCATCCTGTTCAATGTATTTGATCGAAACAGTGTTCCATTAGATAAAGTGAACGATCCAGATGACCCGCTCTCGAATACTTCGCGTCTCGTCGGTGTGTGTCGGACACTGCAATTACAACAAACGGAATTCGGATGGTTTGCCCTTTGCTTGATATAATACATGGTGACCTATTCACCTGTGATACGATATCGTTATCAAAATGTTACATGATGAGAAACTTGGCCCGGATTATACGGACGACATCGACTTACTATTTGATAGTTGCGAGCCGGCGCATACATTCTCAGCTTATCCATTGTGGTCTTATTTCATGTCTTACATGTTACGTCTTCTGTGAACAAATTGCTGTTCTAACGGTTTCAACATGTAGCCAAGCGTTCCAGCATAATATGTAATCAGAGATAAGTTTATATAGTCTGGTAAGGGCCATTTCCCATGACGATTAGGTAGTTCCTGAAGTCTGCTCTTGTTTTATGATGCTTTAATGTTCATCATTACGCAATGTCTTGGGCACCGAAGTAGCAATTTCCCTACTCTCTGACTTACTAGATACGGCATTTCATTTGTTATCCAGCCTGGTTTTGTTTTTCATTAATTCGAGTCGCATATTCGTTCGCACTATAGTGAATGCGCACGATGCAAAAATCTTGTTCACTGGAACAGCAAACATCCATCGCTCCCCACACATTAAGACGACATTCGTTTTCGGTCCTTCTTTCTTTCATTCCGAGGAAATAGCTTTGTTACAACCGTCTTTTCCGAACATCGTTTTACTTCACTTATGTCTCTGTTTTCTTCTGTGTGCTTTCTGCTCAGCATTTGTTGTGGTCCACGGTGTGTTCATTTTGTTTGTGTCATACTGCTTATTCGTCGTATACCACATTAGCAACAAGTGTCGGTTTTTATCTCTTGTACAGCATAACCATCGGTTTTAACGCTTAAACATGATTCGCACAGCCACAACCCACAAAAGTATTGGCCATTTTCATTTCCCGACGAACAGTCTGTTTTTCAAATACTTCCTGTTCAGTATTTTCAACGATTTTAGCAAGGCTTGTTGTTTTTGACTTATTATTATTATTATTATTATTATTATTATTTACATGTATTCCAACGCCAGACTATGCAACACCACCCGCACCGCTTCCAACGCCGACTATTGTTGCATTTCACCCAACGACCATCACTCCATGCATCGAGCATAAAAAAGCGCGACAGTCTTCCTGCACACGTTATTACTGCTGATTAAAATGACCTGGCTTCCTTGATCATTGGAGCCGCCTGTCGTGCCGCTGGTTATCTCTCGTTGTTGGACTTTGTTTAACTCTAGCCGATTGGTATTGTTCCTGACTTTTTGTTCCGCTAGTGTTGCCCAGCATAGTATACTAGTGAAAAGTATTGCTCCCCGCTAGTTTCTAGTCCATATTTCATTGTTTCAAACACAGTTCCGCACAATGAACCATACCGGCCGTCTTGTTATTTAGACGGGCGCAACAACCCACTCTGATTTTACTTGGCACAGCTGTTCCTTTCTCCCCTTCAATTCACACCGTTGAACACGTTCTACGGCTAATATTAAGTACGTTATCACCTTACAACAGGCTTTCGCTACTGCACATCCACTAGAGGTCCTTGTCGACATGGTAGTAAAGTGTTCTGGGGGCCTTTTACCTACACTTCTGCGAAATTGGCCTGTTCGTCTAATTCACCTGTTTTTGAGCTGATTTTTCACCTGCACAAGCAAAGCTCATGAGACCCGGTCGAAGATACCTAAAATTAGTCTTGTGCCCGAGACCTATGTGAAACTGTTTCTGATCATTTATGCCCGTACCCGCTGTCCCGCCAGTTGTCTGCGGAGCATTTCCGGCCGTCTTACTTTGGCCATCACTGCCAAGTTTTCTTGATAACCCCTGATATTAACTGAATTCACCACCTTTCTCCTGTTGGTCACCGCCCCATGGTATGGCGGCATCCGTATCTGGATTTGCCTGTCACTATGGCCTCCATGGGGACAGCCACAGAACGCCTGCGCCTACAAAGGGACTATGGGGGGCTTGCGCTGCACCACTCACAGTTCCACCCACACACCCCGTATCCGCTGTAAACCCAAAGGAATAAGACCGGGGGGCATGTGGATGGGAGCCACTCTTCATCAACGGAGCCGGCTCACACTTCTTCAACAAGCAGAACAGAAGCATTCCGGCCTAATTGAGAAATCATGCACACCAGACGTACGCATGACGGTGGCTGGACCATAGCCCGTTCCACACAGGGTGGAACCACTCTTTGAGCTTAGCACTGTCACGAGGACGGCAGCCTTAAATATTGGGCATATATATTTGAACGAAACCGATATAGGAATAGGGACGCAATTGCCATCACTACGGTTACCAGGTAGAATGATTAACAAACAAACGGTACAGTAAAATAGTGTGTGCTTAAATGTCGCCTCCTATATGCGCAGTCTGTTTTACGTAGCTGATGTGGGAGATCGCACAGCGTGCGACTGCCATTGGGTATTCACTCCCATCACTCCATGTCGCCGATCTGTCCGAGTATCTGTTGCCCGAGGTACGATTGTTGCGCAACCTTAAGCATTGGCAGGTGTCAATACCACCTTTTCGCCGCTTACGGCCTCATTGGAGAGACAAGTACGGCCATTCTACCTCAACTAAGTCCCACTGCTCACTGTCATACATGCGGCTTTCTCAACAGTGTACGCTGTTTTGCAAATGTTCAAGACATAGTATGGCTGTCATCCAAGTACCCATCCGTTTGTACATACTGCTGTGTATCCTGCTGTGGCCATAAGCTATTCGGTAACGACCTGCAGATCGGTCACTGCCCCATACATCCATCTAAACGCATACGCTTTGCTTGTACACTTCATTGCTGTAGTGTCTCATACTTATTCATGTGGTTTAAGAGACTTGTGCTACAGCACAGTTCTGTTGTTCCTCAAATTCTACTCTCACCGATGAACACGTGATGTAATAATAAGTATGGTTCCACTGTCCTATACACTGTATTACTCGCCTGGTAACTTCACTTATCCTTGTCTCCCAAGAAACCGTTCGGGGTGAGAACACACACTTCATCGTCACTCCAAAGGAAGTCATTTGTGCCCAAGAGCTGACGGCAGACGATATCATTGACTGGCTTATATCTTATGGTCATTATGTGGAGGCATTGCAATTGGCAAAGGAACGACATCGGCAGCTACGTACACATACGACGCAGGTGAGACCATTGCGCCGAACTTCTGGCTCTGTTTAACACGCACCTTTCTTCTGCATATTTACATGCTCAAGCAGCGCAACCTGGTCCCCGCTTTTTATATAACCAGCTTACCTATTCACTCCCTTGCAACACTTGTCACTCCTGGTTTTCCATCATCGAGTTCCTGCTTTTATGGCAGCCAAACAACCTTACGTAGCTTATTTTTGCGGTTATACTTTTGGAAAAATTCTAATGGACTCTATAACCTTGAGAACAGCTGTTTTCGCTCCTTCACTGCTCGATCATATGTCATCCGTTTGTGACGAACACTGGTTCATTAGCAGTTTGAAAAAGCAGCAAGTACTTCGGATTGCTTTGTTACATAGACATGAAATTTTTGCTATTTATGCTAAATCATGATCTGATCTAGGAAGTAGCTTCTCGCGTCTCGAGAACTATACCATTTATTTATTCCATCTAACTTATCACCCCTACTTCTAACACCATACCACAGCCGACTATTACACCTACTGTGATGATAGTATTCGTAATTTTCATTTGGCTACCACTTCCGCACCGCGACTACATCGGATTTTTACGACCTCAGAATTTGCGGTATTGGGATCCCAAACTTAACACAGCCATCCGAATCAGGAGCGACCTTCAAGCCGGAGTGAAACACAAAAGTACATTGTCTTTAGGTGCCGCGTTATTGGTGTCTCGTGAAGCACGTACATATGGTCAATGCAGTATCTACGATGGCTTACCGAACAACCTCCCCGTGATGTCAGTCTTTGGCCCATAAACAGTTGGCAGAGTGCCGGAAGCTGTAAGGATCACGTGCATGTCTTGTAATCCGGTGGTCACCGGTTCGAGCCTGTGTGGGGGATCGAGCGACCCTTGCATTATGCTTAGCCCATGCGTAACTGGTGGTGGTTGCGTGCAGCTAAGCGTCGGTAGGGCTTACTAGCGTACTGCTGATGCCACATATGCCTGTTTAAACATTACAATGTGGCGGATGTGACTCATCACTGAATAAACTCACTGCACCTTTTTTCATCCCGGTGGAGCATTGTATTTTAACTTCTTAGTGTTATTTGCCTGGAAAGATTGGGCGTCAGTTTGGCAACTTACCAAACAAAGTGTATAAACCGGGAGATTGCTCACCGACTCTCAGTGGGCACGATTCCCTGGATTTGGCGCATTACCTTACGGGTAGGCTGTTGAGCCATTGGCTCGAGCTGGGTTCCTCTAAGTCAGCTACTAGCTTCGGCTTGGGCGACCGGGTTGTTTCGCGTGCTCTGCTAATACTGTAGAGTGTACTTCGCACTCTCTCATTCTTGACTCCGTCACCTCCTACCAAACTTCCTCACAGGCCAACCACTTTCCCGTTATTATTTCCTGACACCATCGATTTAATCCAAATACCGGTTTTGCCACTACCCAGAACGTTAGGTCCGAAGCTGTCCTTCGACCACTATCCTCGTTTCTGTCAGCAGCCTTTAATGTTCGGAAACGTAAGCAGATTGGGCGACAGGCCGGTCTGGCACGTACTCCGAGTTCCGTCGCTAGTAATGTATGCTGCCTTCCTGAGCCACGGTTGCAACATCCAAGCAATGTGGTCAAAATGACCTCTCCTATCATCCAGGAAGCCAAATATAACCTTCGTTTGTCTGTCGGCGTGCAAGCAGCTGCAGTCGGTTTCGCTGGCGTTGGCGTGTCATCAAGCAGTAAAGCCGAGTCCTCGCTCTTGTATTGGACTCCGGTTAACAGCCGACTATGTGCAGTTCTGCTTCAAGGCTCATGCAGGGTTAACACGCCTCGCGCTAAAAGGCACAATCTGTTTGTGGTCTCCGCTTATGCGCCAACCGATTGCTGCTATGAATTAGTCAAGGACTATTTTGACCAGCAACTCTATCAGCCGCCAAATCGGACGTCGTTGTCCTCACAAGAGACTTCAAAGCACGAGCTGGTCGCCTGTTACCAAGTGAATTTCACCTGCGTGCTCATCACGTACTGAAGGAAAATCGTTTGGATAACTCGACCGGGCTTCTCACTTTATGTGAGGACAACGGTTTGTTTTTCGCAAGCACAAACTTCAAACACTCCAGGAGGCACTTTGCAACCTGACGTCCTCCACCAACGCAGCCTTGGTCTCAGATAGAACACATCGCAATCAGTTTCAAATGGCGGGCGGCTTACGAAATTGCAGATAATTTTGGATTACTTATCTTGATTCAGATCACGCGATGGTTTGTGCGAATATCTGCGTACGATTCGGAGGGCCTCCGAACGGGAAGCATAGTAAACTCGATACGAACAGGTTAACTGCTCAGTCGGGTCAACTGAAATATCAGCTGTCATTGTTAAACAAACTTATCTGTGTTCTACATACTGACATTGAACACTTTTGGAGCATCTTGCAACATATAATGATGAATTCGCGTCAGTCAGTCTCTGGGTCGGTTTATCATCACTCAAAGTGTTGGATCTTTGCGCGCTCTCTAGCATTGTTTGACCGCCACTGCACTCTCCTAGAGAACTTAGACAACAATGAACTTCGCTGCATTTTCAGCCGATAACTCAAGCGAAGCTTTCGCGGCGATCATGAAGTTTGGTGTTCCCAACATGCCTTGGAGATGGAGGCCGCAGCTTTCACTGGAAATGCACGCAGGCTCTTACAATTCATTCAAACCACTGGACACCTAGGTCTGGTATCAACGAAGCCATTTGTAAGGTGGATGGGATACCAATCACTATCATACAGCCACGTATATGAGCTGATGGATGGAGCATTACTAAGTTCAATTGCTCCTCGTCATCCAACTTTGCACCCGGTCGCACACCATGTGTAGTATCACTAGAACCATCCACTGAAGCAGGGGTTTCTCTTGAGATCCGACGCATACTGGTTTAAGCCTGCGAGCTCAGATGACTTCCCCCAGAATTGTCCAAGTACGGTGGCCCTACAGTTATCAGTCAAGTAATATTCCTACTCCCGAATTTCTGGTGAGAAGAAAGGGTGACCTCTTCTTAGGGAAAGTCAGTAAATTGTGCCTCGTAAAATGGAGAACATACCTCATCTTCTGAAAAGGTTTTCGCATTTTATTCGCCAATCACAAAGGGATCAGTCTGATATCGGTTGCCTGCAATATACTAGCATATAATGGGCTAGCCCCAACGCGTGAAACGCTACCTGAAGGAGTAGGCTGGTTTTCGCCCCGGTCGGGGATGTGTACATCACTAATTACACTTCGTCAGCTCCTTGAACATCGTAATATCTACCGCAGACCCGCCATTGTCGCCTTCCTGGACATTCGGGCTGCATACGACTCAGTAGAACGACATGCTTTATGGCGATGCCTGCTGAGCAGTGGAGTTCCAGAACAGTATGTCTTTATATTTCAGTCACTATAACTGCATATTTCGGGCAGGGTGAGAGCCTACGGCAAACTTTCTGCACTCCCCCTGTCACCAGTGGTGTGTGACATGGATGCCGTCGATCTCCTTTTCACTTCAACGTTGCAATCGAAGACGTCCTGTTGGGGATTTAAGGAGGTCTGCAGAGTTTTAGTATCGATCTCCTTCCAGGTGATCGGGCAACCAACTTAGATTACGCTGATAGTATCGCTTTATTCGATGACGACCTTTTTGGTATGCATGTGATTCTTGACCGATTGGTGGTTGAAGTGTCTAGGTGTGGTATGTGCTTTCCCTCCAAGTCCTCTTCTCTTTTTTGCTGACCCGTAGTAGTATTAGAATTTGCGGGATTACTTTTGCGTAACCAATGCGATTATCTTGTTTGATTACTGGAAACAGACGAATTTGACCCGTTTAGAGCTTAATAATCCATTCGCTAAAAAGTGCTCTTACTAACACCTCTCCGTTTGAAGTTCACTGTTATATGATTTCAGCTTGGGGTTGACCTGGAGCGTCGTGACACGGTCGCGGCAACGATCCATCAATTTCCTTGACCGACAATCAGATGCAGGGGAGGTTGGTGGGGCGATAGGATTATTTTGCTGAGTAGCCTCTCTCGTTGGTAGTTTCAACTCGTCCACAAGTATTTCATTTGAGGTGTTTAAGGCATCTGTTCTGTCGAATGAGGTGTAGGTCCTGAGTTGATTGCTATGGCGAACCCATTTGCTATCGCCTACGGCCATTTCATAGCAGACATGGTCGTCTCTTTACAACAAATCCAGGTGTCACGAAGATTTCATTGTTACGATAGTCCTTTGCCAACACCTGTCCAATGTCGAAATATCGAGGGATAGCGCGATGTCTTCGGTTGTTCTGATGCTCCATTACCTAATTTCTTTTGGAGTTGGTTCTGTACAACGGCCTTATTAGATCAACTTTCGTTCGAGGCCTTCTGAGCATAACCGAACCTGCTGCGGACTTCTAGTTAGGCGTCTGGATTAGGCGCAATCTTTTATGTTAGCAAAATAGTGTGACTCTTTCTGGTTTACTTGCGTCGACTAATCCTGCCTAGTTACGCTGTTGTTTCTCCATAGACTTTACGGGAGGCGCACAAAGCATGTCCTGTGATTGACAACTGAGAAATTATCTCAGCCCTCGGTCAGGCTAGTCTACCGGGATGCACTGCCTACCGAACTTTCGCACCCTTGTCCTAACAACACTGAACTTCAATGGGATAGGATCTCGGCCGCCCTGCACGACACAGGAGCATCTGGTTTTGGCACCATCAATCGTTACCGCACCAATCGCTGGATATCCGGGAGGTTGATGAACCTGTTGGAATCTAGGAAAAACCTCCCGGCTAGCTCTGAGTACACTGTTTAAGACAGACTATTGGATGCGAACTAATGCAGAGTTTACGTGCTGTCAAGAAAGCTGGGTGAATCAGTAGGGCTAACGAGATAGAGGAGGTGGGAGCAGTATGCAATTATCGCAAGCTCTTCCAGCTGATCCGCACCACCGGACCCAGGAAATCAGGCGTCAGTGAGACAGTCAGCGACAGCGCGGGTGCACTGCTACACAACAAGGAGCGCCGTATGGCT